GCATTCGTTCACCATCAGTCTTCCACTCGCACAAACACTCGACACGACACAACTACACACAAGCGACACGACACAACACGAGGGGCACACCATTGACGAACGCGCCGCCGTGGATGAACAGAATGACCGGCAGCAGCTGGGCTCCGGTGCCGCCTGTCCGAAAGAGAAAGAGAAAGAACGCATTCGTGGTAAGCACCCCGCCGTTGTCTTTCTTTTCTTTTCTTTCCTTTTCTTTTCTTTTCTTTTGCTTTTCTTTTTCTTTTTGTCTCGCGAGGTCAGGTACCGAAGGTGGCGTTCTGGGGCGTGAAGACGTTGAGCGTGAGACAGTCCTCGCTGATGTCGCTCCAGTGTCCCGGCTGCATGCAGCAATGCCTGAAAGAGAGTAGGTGAGAGTGGGGTGAGTGCGAAGAAAGGCCACAACAACGACAACGACGACAACAACGAACCCAAACGCAGAGGCGTCGAGCACGTTGGGTCCCCACGAGGCCTTGGGCACGGGCGCTTGCCACCGCAGATTGCCCACCGGCGGTTCCTGCGTGACGGTGTGAGCCCTGTGGCGCGTACAACGCCACTTGAACATTTCGAGAAGAACGAAATGAGGGGGAGCTGGTACGGCGTAGGGAAGGCCACGGAAGGAGAAGAAGCCGGGACCCACGAGGCCGCGCGCCACGCCCAACGGCGTCTTCACCAACACGTCGTCCTCTGCAGGCGTAATTTCTTATTATTGAGTGGAATTATGACGAAAGCGAAATGAGGAAAAGGAAGCGGGGGGGGGGCGAACCACTCCCGGCGGCTGCTCCGTGAAGAGCGAACACCACNGTGAGAGTGACCACCAGCAGGACGGGGAGCAGGCAGCGCCGCGACAAAGCCATCTCTTTTCGTTCTGTGCAAAAGAACGAAAGCGACACCGTCCGGCAAGACCGAAAATGAAAACGAAAATCACACGAATAAATGAAATGCCAAGCTAAAATGGGGGAAATTGGCCTCTTTTTGGTTTGTTGAGTTC